TTATATATTAAAATAAAAAGAGTGTATAATTATTTTTTGTTGTTGTTTCTATTATGAAATAACTAATAATATATGGGTTACATTATTTCATTTACACATTTTAGTCTGATTAGATAAAGAAAAGGGATTTTATCGTTGCAAATATAATTGTAGCAAAAAAGTTAAAGATGAAGGACAATTCAATACACCAAATATAGTCAAAAATAGATAGACATTTTAAAATTGAAGTAGATCATCTATCTATCTATATAAGGATTTTTACAGCTGTCGCCGCCTTCCTTCTTTCAGCCAACGTTTCCAGTCCTTTCTGTTCTGCCATTCTCCATCTCTAAGGTCTCGTCTTTCCATGGCCCCGTCCACTTCATCCCTTCATGATCTTCGGGGTCTACCTCTTTTCCTCCTTCCTATTGGGCTCCAATCCGAAATCATTGCTATCCACCTTGTATGATCTGTTCTTCTCACATCTTCTTCTTCTTCACGTGCCATCTCCTCTCTAAGAAGGTTGGCAACCATCATGGCAATTCGCACTTTCGACGCCGCTGCTCTAAAGAGGTCAGCAGAAGTGCAGTTAAACCAAGCTCTCAAATTATTCAACCAGGAGATGCGTCTTCTTCCGCGACTCCTTCTACCCTGTATTCTTCCTTGCATTATTAATTGCAACAAGTTATAACGCTCGCCCCTCATAACATGTCCCAGATATTGCAGTTTTCTGACTTTAACTGTATTTAAGACCTCTTTATCTTTACCCATTCTTCTCAACACCTCGACATTCGTGACTCTATCTACCCAACTTATTCTTAATATCCTTCTGTAGGCCCATAACTCGAAGGCTTCCAATTTGTCCGAAACATCTTTCTTTAAAGTCCAAGCCTCCAACCCATAAAATAATACGGAGAACACGTAGCATCTCAGAAGTCTTATATTTAAAGAAATTGAAATGTCCCTGCTGCAGAGTACTTTTTTCAGTTTGTTGAAAGAATTTCTTGCCTGTCCTATTCTTGCCTTAATCTCTTCTGTGTACTCATTATTTTCATTAATTATTGTACCCAGATATTTATATTTTTCAACTTTTTTAATTTGTTCTCCATGTATTGATATGCTTTCTTGGCGCTGTTGGGCTTTTGTAATTACCATAAATTGTGCTTTTTTTGTGTTTAGGGACAGTCCGATTTCTTCACTGACTTCTACCACTCTGTCAATCATTTGTTAACCCTGTCAACATCTTCTCACATGTCAATACCAAATTAAACGTTTTTCTTCGATGTAGCTGAATATGTCTTGTTCTACTGCCATTCTTCGTTTTATCTCCTCATTTCTGATGCGATCTATTTTTGTCACTCTGCAGCTTCTTCTCATGAACTTCATTTCAGTTGCTGTGATTTTGGACCTGTTTCGTTTATTTATTACCCAATTCTCTGCTCCATAGTTCATTATACTGCGTACAAAGGTGTTATAAATTCTCTTCTTTGTATTTATGGTAATATGTCTATCCCACAGTACCCCGTTCATTTGTTTAATACATGTTCTTGTCTGTGCTAATTTGATGGTTATCTCTTGCTCAGTGGTTCCATTTTTTGAGAGTATGAATCCTAAATATTTGAATTTTTCAGTGCCGTTAATTTCTCTATCATCGTCCCTTTCCAAGTTTCTCACTGGTTCTTGCTCTGGAATACTCTTCTTCTCGAATTAAACCTAAAAGTCCCCGAAATCTATCCTAGCAATATGCCAACTTCCCCTTCCAAAATTCCATAAAACGTCAAAAACCTAAACCCAAACTTTACAAAAAAAGACATAAAGGATAGGTTTTCTTTAATTTTGTTGCAGGGGGGAAATTTCCCTGTCCCCTGTGTATCTATTCCTGACTTTAATCTATAACTAAACCAAGAAAATAAATTCAATTTTTCATAAAGCTATATTAAGCTTTATTTCAGCAATTTTTTATTTATGTTCCAATGTTTAGAACTGATTGTTGTAAATTATTGTAAATCAATAACAATTTTTCATAATGTTAATGTTTAGGCGTTCAATGACCCCTCTTTGTCCTTTTCGCGCAAAGAGGCGTTTTGCCTTTTCTCTAGTACAATGTAATCTCTTTTATGTGGTACCAAGTTACAGGAAATCATTAAAAGTTAAATTAGAGAACAGATTTGTATTTGAGTTTAGAAAGTTTACGGAGAATACATTCCTTTTTACACCAAAAACATGAACGAGTGGTGGATAACGGTCTAGGAAACCAATTTAATGAATAAATTAAATAACTTTGTTGCATGTACAACGAAATGTCATCGAAATGTACATAAAAGGTTAAGATATTGTTACAGAAAATCCAAATATAATTTAATCAAATGATCAGAATAATAAGAAAAAATTATAAAAATTAATTACGGCTACAAATTGGAGAATATTTTAAACAATCCAAGTGTCCATAGAACAAAAATTTTCAGACAAATACTACAGAGAATTACAACTGTTAAATGTGGATTTTGCCATCATCTAGTCTTATAGGTTTTTACCATCTTAGAGGATTATATAACGAGATTTTGGAAAGCGCCAAATTATAATCAAAAATGCATATTTGATGGAGATGGAGAAATGAGATGGAGACATCCCAAGAATGGTAGATGGAATATATATATGTTCGTATTAACTTGAGCCTGGAAAAAGTGTTTCTGTGTCAGATTTCCAATTCCAGAAAATCTGTGATTCCAGATCTGTGGTAGATCCAGTTAAGTTCGAACCTACCGGTGGTGCTAGTACAAGCACTGAAAATGGGAGTTATAGTACGTCTTAAAATAAAATACCAAGCAGGTCAAAAAAAAATATGGAAAAGTAAAAAAAAAACTCCGAAGAAACTATCTGACTCCGAAGAAACTGATATAACAAACTATGCTCAAGAACTTGACAGTAACCTCCAGGTTGATGACTTTGCAATTGTGAAAGTAAATTGGAAAACTAAAATGTGTTTAGAATGTACGTTAGCAAAATCTGTCGCCTTTAAGATAATGGTTATGTTGGAATTTTTTACAAGAAATCAATTTCTAATAACACATTTGTTATGTAATGAAGAAACTCATGCCGCCAGTTAAAGTATCTAAGTCTTTCTCCTCTCGTATGAAAACAAGCATTAGTTTCCTTGATGATATCAGTAAGTTTACCATCTATTAATTAAATTAACTTCACTAGCAATTATTTATTTTTTCATTTGTAGTTTAATATTTGGTCATTTATCATTTGATATTTACATTATATATTTTTTTTTATTAAAACAAATGTTGTTTCTTTTCACCCCACAACAAAGCTGACTGTTTCTATAAGCCCCACAGGTTCTGCAGTTAAAATATACTTGGAAACAGTGTCTGTTTCTATTCACCCCACTCAACGGGATGAACAGAAACAGCATGTTTTAATTTCCTTGTACTTAAAAGAAAAAACAATAGTGTACGTTTGTATAGGACTGCAAGGTCCATTGTCCGAACAATTCTAATCGGAGACTTTGACGCAAAGGTTGGGGAAGAAAAAGTAGAAGAATGTACAGGAGGATACGGTTTGGACAACAGAAAAGAAATGGGAGACAGGCTTATCGAATTTTGCCAAAACAATAATTTTGTTATAGGTAATTCATTGTTCAAAATGCTAAAGAGAAGATTATATATCTGAAAGTCACAATCAGATCCAGAAGAGAGAATTGTACGAATTCAAATAGACTATTAATGTTAGACAAAGACACAGGAACGCAATTATATCCGCAAAAGCCTATCCATGTGCCGATATAGGATCAGATCACATCCCAGTAGTGACCAAAAATAGGCTCAAAATAAAAATAATAAAACGAAGAACAACAAATGCAAAAATCGATACAAGTAAATTAAGGAACCTACTCGTAAGGCAACACCTGGCAGATGAAATCAACAACGGATTAGTGAATGTTAAAGAACAAATTCTGCAAAATACTGAGACTGATAAAAAATGGTTATTAATAAAGACATAAAGAGATAAAAGTAACAAAAAAAAATTCTAATACCAACCAGATATAAAAAGAAGCAATGGATGACGGAAGAAATTTTAGATTTAATGGAAGAGTATGCTTAGAGTAGCATGGACACAGAAGAAAACTAACACAGAAGTATTGCGAGAAATGGGCAAAGACTGCGAAATAATAAACACAGTAAAAATATGAAAGTTACAATATCTAGGACACGTAATGAGAGGACAGCGATATGAACAGCTAGGGCTGATAATACAGGGAAAGATAAGAGGAGGAAGAAGTATAGGAAGAAGAAGAGTGTCATGGTTGAAAAATTTTAGGGACTGGTTTAAATGCAGTTCTATAGAACTGTTCAGAGCAGCAGTAGATAGAATAAAGATAGTGATGATGATATCCTACCTTCGATTGGGAGACGGCACTTAAAGAATAAGAAGCAAGGCCCATAAACCAAGGTAGCTTTCAATTCCTTACATCTCATAATATTTTACGATATTAAATATTCAAAGTTAAAAAATGTTTCTATTTACCCCATTCAAAGGTTGAAAAGAAGAAAAAAAATAGTTTCCAAGGAGATATTACAGCTATGAATCGGTGTTGACAGATGCAAATATATTAAACAACCACAAATAGAGTTATGTTTACAAAGAAATATTTAATTAAAATAAGAAATTACCTCATGATTATCTTCGTTAATATATATTTTTAAATGACAACATACATGACTAACATTTTTTCATCCAAAATAAAATATGTATTTCGTCTGAATTTTATTTCTTCCGCGTTATTTATTAAACTGTTTATCAAAATTATAGTGACTAAATTAGATTAATAGATTTTGAACATTGGCCTCCAAAAACTTGAATTATGTAAATAGGGGCAAATTCCTGAGTGGGGTAGATTCTTTAGAATATTTTAAATATTTCTAGTGAAAAATAGTTTGGTATAAAAGGTTGGGTATTAAGAAGATTTAGCATAGTTTGATTCACTTCTAATCAAATAACCACAAATCATCAAAATGTTCAAATTGGTAAGTACAGATTTTTTAGTGTATTTCTTAATTTTAGTTATTTCTACATGTCTCTTTTTAAGATATTATAAATAGTTGCTAACTATTTTTGAGAAGCAAATCATTTACCAATTTTTAAAAATTTTGTATTCATATAAATTTTTACCGCTGGACGTTTTCATTCACGTGTTTTGGTCTACCAATATTTTTTTAATTCTCATTTTTAGGTCCTTAAAACTTTTTATTTTCTTTTTCATTTTGGTACTTTCCAGTTTTCTTGAATGTTCAGAATGTTCCAGTTTTCTTCATGTTTTGAGCTACTTAAGCTATTTTTATTTTGTTTTTTCTTTCTTTCCCTTTATAAACGATTCTGCTTGTTCTCCCCATTCTGCCCATATGATTATTCAATTTTTTTCTCTTTGATATAGATACTAAACAGAACATTTATGATTCTAACTAGACATTATCCACACTATGTTATATTTTCTTTCAATCTTCTTCTTCTAATGTCTTCACTCATCTTTCGATCACTCAGAGTATTTCCTGTAATGTCTTTAGTACTCGTGTTGTGGCTGTGTTGTGTCTTGTTTCTAATACATATGTCATTATCAATTTCAATTCAATAATTAATGTCAATCAATGTCATTATCAATAATCAATTTTTTTTTGAATGCCGATTTTTTCTAAAAGTTAATCCTCAATGTGTTAAATTAAACCAAAATGTTTTTTATTAAAAAAAAAACTTAGTTTTTTCAAAAATGCATGTTGCTATATGGCAAAGCTAAGTTTTTATAAGACCCACAGACTATTTCAGAAAATTACTACACATTTCTGTTAAAAACATTTATTCAGGTTTGTTGATCTTCTTCTTTTTCCTCTTTATAAGCAATTCTGCTTGTTTATTGGCGGATTAATACCTCTATGGAAGGTTGTCACTCTATCTTTTGCTTGGTCGTCCGATACTTCTTTTACCAATTGGTTTCTTATCTCTTGCTATTCTGACGACACGGGTTTCTTCCATTCTGTTTATTGTGGTTATTCTATTCTTTTTTTTTCTATTTTTATCTGTACGTTACATTTTCTTCTAATGTCTTCACTTGTCTTTCGATCTCTCAGTGTATTTCCTGTAATTCTTCACAGTAGTCTTATCTCTGACAATTCTAATAGCCTTTCCGTGGTGGCTGTGTCTGGTCTTGTTTCTGAGGCATATGTCATTATTGGTCTTACACTGGCTTTATAAGTTCTTGACTTCATGTAAATGCTAATGTGCCTTTTTCGCCATAAAGTGCTATTAAGGAATCCTGCCAGTCTATTTGCTTTTTGTACTTGATCTCCCACTTCTTTGTCCAGGTCTCCATAGCTAGACAGTGTAATTCTCAGGTATTTTATTTCCATGGCTTGTTGAATACTGATGCCATCAATTTCTATTTTACATCTGGTTGGTTCTTTGCTGATTACATATTGGTTCTTTTCTGAGATGAGATTGTCATATTAAATTCTTTTGCTCTTATGTTACAACTGTGGACCAGTCTTTGTAGACTATCTTCATCTTGATCTATCAATATTGCGTCGTATGCGTAACAGAGTAATTTTATTTTCTTTGTTTTCCATTCTGTATCCTCTTCTTTTGTTAACGCCTTTGATGATTTAATCCACGATTAAATTGAAGAGCATGGGGCTCAATGAGTCCCCTTGTCTTAATCCGCCACCTATTTCTATAGGTTCTGTAAGTTGTCCATCTATTCTGATTTCCATTTTGTTGTTTTGGTAGATGTTTTCAATAGTTTTTATAATATTTAGGAAAACTTCTCTATTATACAGAAGATGGATTACATCTTTGAGTCTTACTCTGTCAAAAGCTTTTTATAGGCCAGTTAGATATATACTATATACTGGTCTAATATACTCTAGTGACTTTCTACATTTTTTGTATATTGTACGAATAATTCCTGAAGATCTTTCACCCGCACATCTCTTCTTTTTTCCCCTAAAGTGGGTATTAAAAGATAATCTCTTCCATTATACTTCAAATCATCACAAATTCTCTTTAAGGAAATACTATTTCTTGATGTAGCTGGTCTTTTACCCCATTGAGGAGCAGGTCCATATCGAGATTTATATTTGCAATTTTACGCCTGAAATCCAGTTGTGATATTTTTGTACCCACAGGTGATCGATGAATAATCCAATTTACAATCGATACATCAACTAACCCTGTTAATATCACCCATCATCATATTGCAATCATATATCGACTGATTCATTAGGTCAGTTCCACCCTTTCCACTATTATACTGACTAATGGCAAAAGCTCTTGGTCCTTAAATATCTTTTTGCTTGAGACAAAGGCGTAACACCACAGGCACTCGAAGCAATTGTCATTGCAATATTGTCCAACCACGTTATGAATATAATGCCATTATTTATTTTAATCGAAGAAAATAATCTTGCTTGCGTCTCGTTTTAAATAAAACTTTAGAAAAATATAAAAGGTTAGATCTTCGGTAGCCTATTCTCTCTGATAGTTCCGGCAGCTTTGTATGCCTTTAATTTTAAATAGTTTAGTAAAATCATACTGGTAAATATCTTGTCAAAGTACCCTGAAGCAGCATTTATGCTTCACATTTTGAATCCGAATCAAATCGGTTTGCCTCTAATAAACTGCTTACATTTATGGCGACCGTAATATTTTACCATGGACTCATCATAATTAGGATCTCCTTCTACTACTTTTCTCCATTATTCTCTCTCTTTGATTGTCCTTTCTATATTTCGAATTCCCATACTTTGCTCTTCTGTCTTCTCATTATGTGTTCATACAATCTAATTCTTTGTGCTTAAACTATGTTCTCTTGACCCATCCGTTCTTGTATTTCTTGATTCATCTATGGTCTTGCATCCTCTTCGTTTTCCCTCTTTGGTCCCAGTATTTTTATGATAATCTTCCTTTCAAAAACTTTAAATTGCTCTTGTTGTCTTGCTGTTAATGTAAATCTTTCTGCAACATATACTGCTGTTGATCTTATGGTTGTTTTTTAGATTTCTTTGTGTTTTGGCTTATCTTATTATCTCTAAACATTTTTTTATTTCTATAAAACGCTGTATTTCTTGCTGTAATTCTTCTTTTCATATCTACATTTTTATTTATTCTGTTGACTAGTACTCCAAAATATTTGTATGTTCTAACCTCTTCGAAACTGTCAGTTGTGTCATTTGTGTATTCCTTTTCTTGCTTACATCATATATTTTGTTTAATTCTCATTTATTTCCAGTTCCCCAGTTTAGCTTTGTATTTTCCTTGGTTTTTTTCTTTGTTTATTCCTTGGAAGGTTTTCTTTAATGCCTTTTGGTCTGGCGCTACTATGGTTATATCGTCGGCATATTCTATTATTTGTACTGCATTCTTGTTTATAGTTCCTGCTTTTGACACCTTTTTTTTATTATCTGGTCTAGTAATACAATAAAATAGTTCCGTTGAGAGCGCATCTCCTTGTCTTACCCAATTTTTTATTTTTATCATTTCTGTTCTTTATTTTCGATGTCTATTATTGTTTGGGAATCTCGCATTGTTACTCTTACTTTCTTGTAAATCTTGCACCATTTTTCTTACATCCGTTACATTCGTATTCCGTTGTTAAAAAAAGCAGTTTCTACTCATTAATTGACTAATAGCCTGATTATTCAGATCAGGACGTAAATTTCAACAAAATCCTTAACCTGAATGTAGATTGTAGCCAGACACCAGTAAGATACCCAAGAAACATTTTATTTCATTCTTGGTTACAGCAAAATCGAGTGGATTTTAAGAAGAAACATACCTCATTAATTCATTTAAACAGTTCAGTTGGACAAATAATTTTATATAGTTCATGTTTACAATCAGGAATCATCATTTTATTATGTTTTGGTGGAACCTTCAAATCTCCAAATATCCAAAAAACATTTTTGTTTAACTCAATAAACGGCATAATCCCGGCATTAACCCCGCCATCGATGGCAATGTGACCACCTATTTATTGATAGTGGTGTAATACAACTTCAGCATTTGCAGAAAGTTGCCATCCTGGTAATTGATTTATATCGAAATCATCTTCTTCGCCTTCCGCTTCTTCGTCTATTAGAATATTGGGCTCAGGAGGTTCAATGGATTTCTGATACACATCTAAATTATTTTTATATAGTATTTGGATAACTTTCTTAGATATTTTAATTTCATTGTTCCCAGTTATGTTTCCTCTTTCTTTATTATATTAATTGTGTTTATAAACTGAATCTAATATAAACTGATTATGTTAAGTTTGACGTTTTTAAAAATATTTTTACTATTTGCACCTTTCTTTTAGTTCGTCTTCGCCGCTATCTTGGCTTTGGCTGCTGCTGCTCCACAACCTGAACCAGCTCCAAAAGCTCAACCCAAACCTTGGTTATACTCTGCTCCAGTCGCTTACGCAGGAGTTCCAGCTTACTCTGCCTACTCTTATGGCGCTCCATTAGCATACTCCGCTCCAGTAGCATACTCTTCTCCAGTAGTAGGATACAGCGGATGGGGTGGATGGGGTCCCGTAGTATACTAAGGAGAATTTAATCTGTGTTAATGATAAGAGCTTGTAAATTTGTAATAATAAAAATTGTTTTTTAAATTTAGTATTTTCTAGTATAATATATGAAGAAGAAAGAATCTATACAATATGAAAACCTCCTAAAGTCAACTAGAGGAATAGAAAAGACTCATGTTAATTCTAAAATGTTAACAACAAAAAAATAGTTCTAGAAAAAGGTTTAAAAATTGAACTGAACTGAATAATTGAACAGCGGCAGAGCTTCGATATCCGGCAATGCCAAGAAAAGTTTAACGCTGCTTTCCCATTTTCAGCAGCTCCTCCGTACGAAACTGCACTAGGGGTCCGAATTATCAGCAAGAGTCGGAATTTACCGCGATTCTCTATCAAATCAATATCTTAGGGTAAAATAGCAAAATTTTGAATGGAAGTAAATAAAAAATCTTTAATTTGAGCAGTGCTACATTACATTTGACCCAATAGTTTATGCAAAATTAACGATTGAAAGTACAAAACTCTGATTTTCCGCCATTTTTAATTTTTGAAATATCTTTTTTAAGAATCCTCTTTGTCTAAACTACTGAGTCAAATATAATGTAGTCTAGCCTAAATTAAAGATGTTCTTATGCACTTTCATTTAATATTACGTTTATTTTATCCCAAGATATTGATTTGATAAAATATTAAAAGTGCCATAAAAAAATTATAACCAAAAGTTTGGAGTTGCAAACACTTGAAGGGTACCCCAGTCATAACGCTGTGCTGTTTTCAATAATTCACTAATTAATGCACATTTTTTTCTCTAAAGCTTTTACTATAAGCTGTTATTATTAAGCATATATAGTCAGGGACAGATTAATACTAAGTAAAAGTGATGGTTCGTTTGAAAAATCCCAGTTTATTGGCTAATTCTTGGTGCAGTAATTTACAGAGTTTTTAATTATGAGTTCTAACAAATGTCTGGCAATCACCGGTAAGCTGCTGGATGGGTAAGTACTCCGACATACTGCTATATAAAAGAAAAAGGTTAAATTATGTATAAAAACAAGCTGTATGTCAATGAGATTTCCTTTTAGTTGAACACTTACTAACTTAATCGTAAAACAATAATAGTAATTAAAGCCCATTACTGGGATCACTATTATCAACAATTTACTTTGATATAATTGTATTATGAGCAACATATTCAAAAATCTAGTGCACTAAATTCATTGTTAAAACAATTATTTTTATCTTCATTTTTGACTAAAAACTTGCAAAAAAACAACTCAGAATATTCCTTCATGTTCAAATTCTAATAAAACAATTAGTTTAAACTACATAAACTAAATTCATTGTTAAAACAATTATTTTTATCTTCATTTTTGAGTAAAAACTTGCAACAAAGAACTCAGAATATTCCTTCATGTTCAAATTCTAATAAAACTACTACAAAAAACCGTTTGACTGTTGTGTACAACCTTAGACTCGTTCTTCTCGCCACTAATTGGTGTTGACTCATAGTATTCGATATTTCTAATTCCTTGTGACAAATCAGATTATTTGTAGGCTGTACTAGGTAGTATAATTAGTAGAAAAAGAGTACCACCCCCTTTAAATCTGCTAATTGAATTAATAGGGCAGTGCAGTGGGTGGATTTTTAATAACTAGTTGTAATTCCCGCTAAACAAATATATTTTGTGATGTACACTATAGTATTTTAGACACTTTGTCAATAAAATGATTTATATTTGGTGATTACAATCTGTTTTGACTTCATGATGTACCATAATAATATAATTTACAGGATAAAGCTAAAACTGGCAGGAAATAATGGTAGGACAAACGGCATTCAATCATCAAACATCTACAAATTTTTTCTTCTCCAATGTAATAAAAAATTATACTAAAATGATGGCATCTCCTAAAGTAAAATGTTTGGGAAGCAAAAAAGATCCTGCGCTGCGTTCGGGTGAAAACTAGTTCAGGGGGAACATCATAGCTAGTTAGAAAAATTACGATAGGGTCCTGTCTTACAGGCACTTACAAGTATTGAGTTCGTAGATGCTACTCTGCCTACTCTTATGGCACTCCTTAATTTTTAGTTTATCACTTGGTAAAACCTTTCCATCTTATAAGATATGTTAACTTCACATGTTTATTGTTTTTTACCTTTTAAGAGGTAATAAATAAACGTAAAAATTTTTTTTGATAAAAAAGCATAAATTTAAGTCAAACGTTTATTAAACTTTTAATATCCAAAACATTATAGCTCAAAAATAAATCAAAATCAATTTTTCATGTAACCTAATAATACACTAAGGGAGCAGTGTAAGCCACTGGATTGAGTGTTCCTGAGTAAGCTAATGGAGCTGAGTAAGCCACGCCTGGATAGACCACATCGGAGACTACGGCAGGAGCACTATAAGCTGCCAAAACTTGAGGGTTTGGTTGTGGATGTGGTTGAGGATTAGCCAATGGTTTCGCTGCGGCGAAAGCAACAGCTAACAGAGCGAGAAGAAATGAACAATCTGGAAACAGAATCAAAAATAAATTCCTGTTTTTATTGTTAGTAGTAGTAAAATACAAAAAAAATTAAACTTAATCATTCACACCAATTATTTTGGTCATAGTAAAATATTGGTTTGAGGGACACAATATGATTAATATTTTGTTTATAGTTAAGTTAATATATATATATATATATATATATATATATATTATATATATATATATATATATATATATATATATATATAGAAAAGAAATTTAATCTTTGCAGATAAGTTAAATAGTAAACTCTTAAATATTGGGGAAATCTGCAAGAAAACTCTAATGTGTATCAATTGTTTCGCCTAACGTTTTCGCCAAAGAGAATTAATTTGGCTTCTTCAGGGCTGAAAGAGAATAAATTATAATTAGCTATCATATATTATCTAATAAAAAACATTTACCTGACCGTAAATTTTATAAATGTCGAGTTATGATGATTAAAAAACTTTAGCTAGTAACAACATAGTGGTTTTTTTTTGTTACTATGTGCAAAAAAGTTTATTTGTTAACGTTGGAAATGTATGGTAGCTTTGAACTTAAAACTCAAAGGTTTACCCAAGGTTAATCGAAAAACCCAATGTAACTACATTTAAAGGAAGTAATTCTTTGAATTGTCGGCAATAACTAAATTTTTGATTGTTGTAAAGTTTGAATGTGAGCTTCTATGTTTCATAGAACGCAAGCGCCGAACAATTACAAGTAGTTCTTTTGAATATCAATGTCGTTAAGGTTCATTGGTAAAACCGATGAAGTTAGATCCCAGTCTGGGGAGATATTAGTTTAGAATTTTCTTAATTGAAATTCTTTTTTTTAATTAGTATATTGTTCATGTAATATTATAATAATATCTTATTGAGATGTATCTAAGAAAAGCAAGGGAATGTTATCTTTTCTAGTTAATGAAAATTAATATTAAAGTAGGTTGGTTGTTAATAGATATATCAGTCAAGTTAGTTATCTGTGATGTTGTATTGTTCTTGGTATCTGATTTAAGTAAGAAGTGTCACTCTTAACATTGATGGAAAAATCGTTAAGGAAAATATAAGACATTTCAATGAACTCTCTTTTAGATTTATTGTTCCCACGGTGGAGAATTGTAGTGTTCGTATAGTCGATGTGATGACCAGTGAAATGGACATGTTTCGCTAATGCACAGCGGTCAGGGTGAAGTCGAGAATCACTTTTGTGTAGTGTAATACGTGATTTCAATAATTGAGATGTTTGGCCGATGTAGGAATTGCTGCAAGGGAGGCATGGAATGTTGTAGACAATATTACTAAGCCTATCTATGGGAGTCTTATCTTTTATCTTCGAATAAAGATTATTAATTGTTAGGGCTGATCTACAAGCCACATTAAGTTTGATGTTATTATTATTATTCCCAAAGCTATTTTCAAAACTTTTTAGAATCCTTGTTAACCCCGGAGTGATATCTCTGAAATAGGGTAATGAAAAATATTTATTGATAGGAGTATCCGAGACTGGGTTCCTACTTAAGACATCAGGATCAGCATTGTTAGTCACGATGGAAGATGAAGTATCTTCGTTACGGATAGTGTTAAACAAAATCTTATTTACTAATGGTGTTGGATAAGACTTTGAAATAAAAAGTTTCAGAAGGATTTGTAGGTTTTTTGTATGAAATGAAGGATCTGATAGTTTAATTACTCTATTTTTCATCTGTTTGATTAAGTTGACTTTGGTAGAGTTATTATGGTAAGAGTGGTAGTTAAGGTATCTACCAGAATGTGTCGGTTTTTGATACCAATCTATTTTAATGTTGTTGTTTTCCCTAATCATCCTTATGTCGAGAAAGAGGACGGAACAATTACCATCTTCCCTCTCTATAGTGAACTGGATGTAGGGGTTATAACTATTAAAGGTGTCTAATAGTCCAATAGTTCAAAGGTATTTTTTAATAAATGGAATTTGAAAGGATAGTAAAGGAATGACTGAGTCTAACACATAATCCATAACGTAAGTTGCAATGATAGGAGAAATCTTTGCTCCCATAGGGGTACCGAAAGTTTGTTGATAGAATTTACCATTAAAAGAGAAGTAAGTGTTGTTAAAGAGAAATTCGACGATACTGACGAATCTGTCATAAGACATGGAACAACAACCTCTAATACGGTCCCAGTTGATCTCTATTGATGTCAAACATATTCCTAAATGAACGTTGCTGAATAAGGATACAACGTTAAGGCTAACGAGGACATAATTAGATGGTAATATGTAACCATTATATTTATTTACCATCTCAAAAGAATCTTTGATGTAATATTGAATTTCATAATTATATGCATTAGTAAGTATGTCTGTAACAAAAGCTGAGATATTTTCAGTGGGAGTTCCAATGGAAGCTACTATGGAACGAACCGATAGTGTTGGTTTGTGGATTTTTGGTAAAGCATAAAACTTTGCAATATTCCCATTGTATGTTGTTAGTTTTTTCTTTGTGTTACGGTCAATCTCATTAGAAG